TTTAACAAAGCATTCAATTTCTACCCATTGCTTCAAATAACAGTGGTCCAGTTTTTTAAAATATGTCTTTATTGATTTTAGAGAGACAGGAAGAGAGGGGGAGGAAGAGAGAGGAGAATATCCGCTGCCTCCTGCAAGCTCCAAACTGGGGATTGAGCCACAACCCTGGTGCTGGTAAAGCCACTCAGCCAACTGAGCCACATGGGCTGGGGCCAGACCAGCATTTATTTTTTAATGCCACTAAACAAAATTTAAAAACATAACAGGATCAGAAGAGACCACATGCAGCCAGGGAAATTATTGCTTCACAGCCTGTTTCAGTTTTACCTGAGTCCGAGTGTAAAGTGTGCCTGTACCCTTCTTACCATGGAGCAATGCTCACAACCATTTGAAAGCCACAACCTGGCAGACCCGCCCAGTTGGCAATTATAAAGGTGCTTCACCCAGAGCCTGCTGCCCTTACTTCCCAAGAGTCACTCAGGGACTCCGCAGCCTGGCCTGAGAGGCCCTGTAAAGCAGATGTCAGATCCGGTCCCTCATCTGTCCAAAGCCCTCCAGTGATTCCCATCCTACTAGGAGTAAAAGTCATGAGACAACATGTATTTCTATTAGTTTGTTGTATTAGCATCCTAAAATACTTCCAAAATTTGAGACCAATCTCACCAAAAATGTGGGCTGTGATGGGCCTCTGGGGACTTCCCAGAAACGTCCTGCATCTTTCAAAGCAGCTGAAAACAAGAATGGATATTTACAGTTTGGGCCTGTATATAGGATGATCTAACTCAAAAATGTAATTTATAGGGCAATCACAAAATTCCCTTGGGAGAATTCTGAGGTTACTGCAAGGAGACAGACATTTTCTCAAACAGCTGACCCATAGATGGAGAGGCCAGAGCAGCTTGCTGCTGGGTCCAGGAGAAGATGCCCAGGACAAAGAAACAAGCATCCAGTTATGATCCCACAACCACAGGTCTGGAGCCAAAGGAGTCTCTTCTCACAGGAGAAGCTCCTCTAGCCTTGGTCCAAGGTGAGCAGCAGCAGGAACTCAGTGTTCAATGCACAGCTGTGCAGGGCAGCAGTCACAATCATGAAATATTAAGGCCAATTCTCCTGTCTCAGAAATCATGGCAGCACTCAGTAGGAGAGTGAAGGATGGGGCCATACCTTCTCCCCTCTCTACCTCTCTATCTCTCTCCACTCTCCACTGGAGCTCTCTGTTCCTAAATGTGGCAGTTGTATGCTTGCAGGTTCATGTGGGGGCCCCAAATGGATACATCATGGTATCCCCCATGAGGGCAGGGGTAACCTGCCTCCCAAGTGGCAGCTCCTAGAAATCAGGGTGTAAAACTGTGGTGTGTTTGCTTACTTGTTGACTTGGTTACCATCTACTTGTTAGATATGTAAGCTCCCGTGAACAAAGATCTTATCTGTCTTGTTCTCTACCAGATTCTCGATGACAAGGACGGCATCTAACCCTCAGTAGGCACCAGTGAATATATCCTATATGAATGAACCCATGGTAGACAACAGAGTGGAAGCTGTGTAAAGCCGGTGGTCTTGATCCAGCATCTAGAAGGGTTCAGCAATCTGGAAAAGGGCTGTACGTAAATTAAATAAGAGTCCAGAGATGAAACATAATTGTGAAAGGCATTTTGGGGGACAGAGGAAACTTAGCTAAAGGAGCTAAGTTTTAAGTTCTCCTTGTCTCAGGATCCCTTGCTATTTATTAACACAACTTGTCCTAAGGCAAGATGGAGATATACACATCAAAGAGTAGAGTTAGGTAAAGAATCCATTGTCAGATTGGAAGAATTACCTCTAGCTGTTTGGCCAGGAGGAGGCAATAACATGTAGATTAAGATGCTCTGGGCAGCAATCAATCAATTTATGCATCCTTTTCAGTTTTGGGAAAATGCCTTTAGCCATTCCCAACAGGCAATAACATATGTGACTCGGCCCTTGTTGAGTCTCCAAGTTCCATCAACCTTTTGATGAAACTCTTGCAATTATGACATGCTGGAATTGGCTTCCAGTAGCTGTGGTAGCCAGTAGGCTCTCAAAGCACAAGAGTCTTCAGGAAAATTCTGAAAGGTGAGTCTGCACACCACCGCACCTGGGAGGCCACCCTGTGTGTGCCCCCTCCGGTGACTTGCCAGTTTGACATGCATGTGGTATAACTAAAACTCTGTGTGTTTACCAAGCAGAAGGATGTACACAATCAAAAGCACCAAGGCTTGCAGGGTTACAGTTCACAGCAATTATAAGGAGTGACCAAAGTGCAACCTAAGAGATCAGGTGCCTGGGAGGGCATAGCTGGAGATCAGAGTGGACAGGCAAGGCCCATTCTGTAGGTAACTGAATATTCCTAGGCAATTTGAAAGAGAGACATGGCATGATCAGGTAAATCAGGAGTGGGGGCAGTTATGAAACTATAACACATGTTCAGATTCTGAGATAATGGGGCCAAGAAGTGGAGAGGATGTCTTGTGGCATAATTAAAGGAGGTGGCCAGTTGGATATGGATGTGGATGTTAGATTTCAAGGCTGTGTATTCAAACATAGTCATGTGGGTCCTGATGAAGTTATGGAAGGAAATAAAAACACTTAATTTGAGCAAAATAGAAGTCCATGCACATCAATTGAGAATGCCTGATTGAAAAGCAAAAAAGCAAAAGAATGACAGAGATTCCCACAAATTGAGCTCACCCACGGGGCAGGCAGAGGAAGAGAGTGGTCCCCAACCTTTCTAAACTGCTACAGACATTGACTACTGTCCATCCAAGAGGTTAGAGAAGCAGAAGAGAAGGTAAGAGAGGAGAACAAGAGAAATGAACTTTGTGCTTAAAGTCAGAGGCATCTCAGACAATACCAGGGAGACTAACCTCATGGCGAAAAGGAAAAAAGATAGGGAGCTAACTTCTAAGTTTTTAGATCTCTGAAAAGACCAATTGCTCAAGCAGGAGTAGCCAGGAAGCTTCATCAAAGAGCTCAGATGGGCTGAGAAACAGAACCAGGTGCAACTAGAGTGCAGAGCTCTCACTCAGGAAGCTGGAGAGGGGGAAACTTCTGGCCAGAATCAGGCCTCCTTAGTTACAAAACTCAGCAAGGCTTGTTTCTGAATGAACGAATAATTTTTATACTTATCCACCTAATGGACAGCAGGTGTATAGATCTGTGTAACTGCCTTACATGTATGCTTAGTACTATGTATTCAGCAAATGGTCTATCATCTACATACATATATTTACATGTAGTTATACATTTACCTAAAGGTATATGTTTACCATTTGCATACAGACATATGCGTATACAGTGTGATTCTGGAAGAGTGTCATTATTTTATAGTTATTAAACATCCACATACCCTTCTTTATATATGCTGTAACTGAGGACTTGATTCTTTCTATCACCCCATTTTTTCTGGTCTCAGTATCAAGGATAGTTTATCTTCTCTTAAGCAATTTTCTTTTTTCCTTCTTTTTTTGCCTTCCACGTGTCAGGAATTGTTTTAGGTAAGTCTTTTCTTTTGAACTTGACCGCTAGAAATTCTGGAGACACGTTTTCGACCTACTTGTAGCAAGTGGTATTGGACTCCATGGGGTGCATTTTTAGAAAACGGCTTTCATTCCTGACTCCATTCTATAGACCTTATTTTTCACTGTACGTTTTCATACTTCTTTTGTAGCTTATGTACATAAGCTATCTTGAATACTCATTTACTGGGACAAGATGGCATATAAATATAAAGAAATGTATGAGTGAAGTTGCAGAAGGAGGCTATAGTTATGGTGTGTGATAGTGATAATGCTGTTATCAGGGCAGTCCAGCAGTGATTACAGGGAGTCAGATCTCAGCCCTGTCATGGTTATCTCTGCTATTTACTAGTTGTGTAATGGAAGGCATAGTATTCTCTAACCCTTAATTTTCTCATCTTTAAAATAGTGACCTCCTGATATTTGGGGGAGATGGGTTAAATGAGGCAATGCATAGCAAGCACTTAGCAAAACGCACTCAATGAACATTCGCTATTCTTATCATCACTTGGAAGCAGTGGTTGGCCACCATTCCCGGCCAGGTCTGCTGTCACAAAGTTCTCTCCACCCTCCCCCACCCGTCTCCCTCCCCCCACATCTCCTACACCTGCAGAGGCCAGGCAGCTGTCTCCCACCAGATCAGATATTCATCAGGGCCCCAGAGCTCACCTCCACACCCGCCACCTCTTGCACGGCACAGTGCACGGCACAGTGCACGGCACAGTGCACGGCACAGTGCACGGCACAGTGCACGGCACAGTGCACGGCACAGTGCACGGCACAGTGCACGGCACAGTGCATGTATCTCCAGCCCAGTCTTGCACATTGCTACCAAGAAGACACTCAAAGGCGCAAGCTAAAGCAAGTCCGCAAAAGCCTTACCCAGCCCGGCTCTGAGCTCTGATATAAACAAAAAAGGACTCGTGTGCATGCATGAGCCTAACCAGTGGTCATGGACAACAGGGGGATGGGGCCATGCGTGGGGAGGGGTTTGGGATGGGAATGGGGGAAATGAGGACAAATATGTGATACCTTAATCAATAAATAAAAATTTTTAAGAGGCCTGGGAAAGCACAAGAGGCGCCCAGGAGCCATGCTGAAATACAGAACGACAAGAGGTCTGGGGGGACGAAGGACAGGGTAAGGAGGGTTGAGGGAGGGAGGGTGTTCCCCGAGAGCCGATGAGTGAAGCCGGTGCCCTTGGGCGCACACCTGCTGTCCAGCCGCGCGTTTAGGGGGGAATTCAAGGCACTCGGCGCCTCCCCAGCCCTCCTGCTTTCCCGGACCGCACCGTCGGGCTGGGAGAGGGAGAGGGCTGGGGCCAGAGACGAGGACGGGGAAAGGTGCTGGCCTCCGGGCACTACCCGGTGCTGGGGGCAGGGATCGGCAAAGAGCCGCAGCCGCCGCACAGCTCCTACGGCGATAGCATCAGTGGGCGTGCCCGCGGTGCCGGGAGGGAGCGCGCGGCGGAGGCAGGAGGAGGGCGCGCGCACAAAGTTTGTGCGGCGGCGGGTGCGCGGCGGGCGGCTCGCCGGCTCCGGAGCGGCGGGTGGGCGGCCCGAGGGCGGGGAGGCCCGGGGCGAGGGCCGCGCTGGCGGCGGCGGCGGCCGTGCCGAGGCGATGCGCCCCGCCGAGCCCGTCCCGCCGCGCTAGGTGAGCCGTCCGCACGCGCGGCCGCGGCCATGGGCACCCTGGGCAAGGCGCGAGAGGCTCCGCGGTGAGTAGCGGCCCAGGCCCTCGGGGGCGCCAGGGTCCTTCATCGGGGCGGGGGCCGGGGTGCGAGCATCCTCCGGAGGCCTCTCTGGGGGGGAGATTGTGGGGCGGACGACACGGGAGTCTTCTCTAGGGGAAGTTGCCGGCGACTCATGGGGACGGCAGGCTGAGATCTCGGCTCATGTCAGGGGAGATGCGCGCAGCGGAGACCAACGCAGGGGACGGTCGCGCCGGGAGCGCCCAGCTCCGCGCGCGGGGAAATAGGGAAGGGAGCTGGGTCGTGCGGCCAGAGTTCGCCCGGCGAGCTCCGTGGTTGCAGGGACCGGCCTCCTCCTCCCGCTCCTCGCTGCCCGGCACCTGGGACTCCCACTCGCGGACTTTCCCGGACGCCCGCACCTGCTGGGGCTCCGGGCTCCGGGGCGCCACCTGGCGGCTTCTGCGGGCCCTGCGGGTCTCGGGAGGGCCCGGGAAGGCCGGCAGGGCTTGCAGGGAACAAGCAGAGGTCAGGAAACCATGGAACCTGGGGGGAACCTGTATTCCCCACTACCTGTATTCCCCTCCACCCTACTGTGACTCCGGAGAGATGTTTCAGGGGGGTCTTGGGGTGCAGAATATGAAGAGTGACTGTTAGTGAAAAAGCTCTTGTGAGGAGAAAGAGGCCTGGAAGTGCCAGGTACTTTTGAGTTTGTCCCCTCAAAATCCTGGAATGGGACAATTGCCTGGACAGGGGCCTGGTCAGCATAGGGAAGGGCACGTGGTGCACTCCCCACATCTGTCCGCATGGACTCTGGGTGATGTGCCGGCCATGCCCAGCTGCACACGCATGCCCAAAGATGCGGGAAGCTTTGCCCTGCTGGACTGTAGAGCTAAGGGTCCTTGGTCTTTTATGCACCCGCCCTGTGTCCCCGAGGGTCCGACACCGTACCTTGCACTAGATGGAGGCGAAGGGCCTCAGTACTTTAAATTGAGCCTTTTGGGGAAGGGGATGGTCAGGCCTGCGAGGAATCCTCACTAGAAGCCAATAGAAGCCACCTTGCACGGCAAAGAAAGCCGTGGGAGTTGCCATACAAAGTTGAACCTTATATTGTGACCTCCACTGAGGCCACCTGTGCCTGGAGATGATTGTATTTGAACCATTTCTGAGTGTTGACAGTGTCCTTCAGCTACCTTCACTGGGCCTTAGCCAATATTGGCCTCAGAAACCACCTTAAGTTAATTTGTTTCTCTTAGGGATTTTTTTGTTTGTTTGTTTTGTGTTCTTTTTAATTCACAAGGGAATGGCTACTATCCTTGAAAGATAAGCCTCTGAAGATTAGTAGGTCTATTTGTTCTATGGGTTACAACACCTTCAAGACCTGACTATAGAGAAGTCTTTTATTAATCCTATGTGCAGCCATTTCACCGGAAGAGACAGTTTTGAAGGTTTGTCACAAAGTAGCCAGTCAAGAGGTTGCACAGAAGAGCTGAGTTCCCCAGGTCATGGTTCAGATAACCCCTCTCCCTAGACCTCTCAGGTCACAATTTGGTTTCTAGCAGCTCTTTTCCTCCCTGTTTTCTCCTGCCCCCAGGCCCTCAAATCTCTCTGGGCTCCATAGTTCCCAGGTTGCATTTTTCACACACACACACCCCAAAACTCCCTTCACGTTTTCTCTTTCTACTTGAATCTACCCCAGTCCTTTTTAGTTCCGGTAAAAGCATCTCACCTTGTGAAACAAAGTGGTTTCTGTTACTGCTGACATGAGGAACCATCACTAGAGTTAGAACCAGGGCAGTTTTCAGGGTCCTCAATGATCATTGCTACCACCTGAGAGAAAAAGTGGCATTTTCCTCTTATCCACCAGCTGAGAGACCGAGGGAGACACCTCCAGGCCCCCCGAGGGGAGAGCCATGTGTGGAGGCCCACCCTCTGCTTACAGGTGCCCCTTCTCCAGGGGTCAGAGAGAGGCACTGGCAGGCCTAAGAGAAAAAGAGGCTGTACTGAGAAGGACTTTATTGTTCTCTTTCCCAGCTCCGCCTCCGGTGGAGATCTTCATGGTAAAAAGGCAGCCGCTAAGGCAGAAAGCTGACTAATCCCAACAGCTGTCAACCAGCCCCGGGTTTGGAGACTGACAGTGCCTCCTGGAAGGGCAAGGCGCCCCGGTGGGCACAGGAGGCCTGCCTTCTGCCTGTCTCCGCACTGGTGGCCTGGCCCATTGCCCTCCTCATCCTGGACCCCACACATCCAGTGAAGGGCTCGGAGATGTCCTCCTGGTCTGAGGACTGCCCCGGACACAGGCAAGAGAAGGACCCCAGATCCTGCATTTATATGATCAGCTGTGATGTCAGAGGATGTTACTTTTGTCTTATGGTTGAATTGACCTTCCAGCCTCTCTCGCTCATTCTGATAGAGTGAAAAGTGCATAGTTCCAGGCACAGTAAATCTCGATTAAGCAAATAGAGCCAGAGAGGCACCCCGTACAAACCCCAGATCTAGCACAGAGGAGTTGTACTTGAGCAGGTCATTTAGCCTCTTTCAGACGCAGTTTCGGCATCACGAAATGGAGATGATGTCTCTCTGGGATGTACGCTTTAAAGACCATGCAGATCCCCAGCACAGTGCCTGCCCAGGTCGTAGGTTCCCAATCCATGGTGGCCATTATGACTTCCTCTCATTTTCAGGGACTGATCTGCTCCTGGGGCTATCTTAGGCCCAGGGTAAAAATCAGTAATGGCCAGAAATCCTGTAACACCACCTTTCAGAAATCCCTGCCTCTGATCAGTAGATTCCTAATAGCCAGTGACTGGTTCAGTTTCGCAGTTTCCCTGGGACCACCCTTGGTGAAAACGGAGCTCAGCAGCCGCTGCCAGCCCAGCACCCTGCAGTGGTTGTGAAATACAGGGTGCTCCCTCCACAGGTCTGGCTGTGTTCTGAGGGGCCCCATCGTTCAGCAGTATTCCTTCATAGGCTGTTTATGCCCCAGTGTTTCATTTTGGTTTCAGCACTCTTTTAGCCTCTCCTGTGTGGGATTTCTTGTCAGAGAAACCCTCCCCAACACTCCAGCTGCAACTGGCTCCCCCTTCTCTGAGCACATCACTGCCCTTCCCCTCCCACTCACAGGGCACTGAGGATGGACAGAGCTCTCTTTCCTTGGTCTGGGTATGATTCTCCAACGAGAGTTGTGCAGTGAAGAACTTAGAGATAGATGACGGTTAGACAGCATCAGCTAGCATGTAGTTAGTATGATTTCCAGTTCACAGAGAGCCCTCACATGCGTCGACTGTCCTACTGGCCTTCTCTGACCCATCACCATGTCTTACCCATGGGATAAGCACTTACTGATTGATGGGTGCCCTCGTGTGTTCAGCAAAGCACAGAGGGAGTAGCTAACGTTATGGGTCTGAGGCATGTTTCTTTTTCCTTTGCTTCTTGCCTCCTCTGTGTACACTGAGAAATAAGCAGGCCCGGTGGGGAGGGAAGAGTTAACGATATGCTCAAAGAAGTTACAAGTAACAAGACCCATCACTAGTGAACCTTCAGAGATGATGGACATGTGCCTGTGTGTGTGTTTATGTTTTTTAGTGGAAGGGAAAACAAAATGCTCAATTAACCTTCACGTATCATGTTGCAAGCAACGTGACTTATACTGTGAGGTCGTGATCAAAGGAAAAGCTAGGTGGGAGTGGGCAGAGGTGACCTGTATGCACTCCTAAGCCTTTCCGTATCCAGGCGTGCTCTTTTGGATTCTGTTCTGGCATGAAGCTCTTATGAGCTCTGCCCCTCCACACCCCCTCTTCCCCCAACAGGTAAGGACCCAAGTACAGGCTTAACGGAATGGTATTTAATGATAAAAATGACTCATAATGATTAGCTGTATTATCAATCATGAAAGACAGAATCTTAAACCCCACCAACATTTGTGAGAAAGGCAGGACTAGCTTAAAATCTAAATACCACCATCCTTCCCCCTTCCCCCTTCTCGCCCCCTGCACCCGGTCCTCAGTCTTTGACACCCCCCCCCCCCCAAAGTCCTTAAAGATGTTTTTGAGGCCATCTGAGTTTCTACAGGGTGTTGCTCACGATGAATGAATTTAGTCAAAGATGAGGTCTTCTGAAACTCAATTCTGAAGACCCAAGCCAGTGGCTTCAAGGCTGAAATGGAAAAGTATTTCTGGGACGGGAGGACAGCCAAAGCAGCCCTGCCTCTGCCTCTGCCTCTGCCTCTCCCCTCAGGCAAGGTGACAGCAGGCCGAAGCAGACCCAACCCCCAGAGGACCAGCCCTACTTGCAGCTCTGAAATCTCACCTTGTTGTTTGCTTGGGAGATGTCTCTTTAACAGCCAACCAGTCCGTTGGGTGCATTTGCCAAGTGGGAGGGGTGTATCTTCTATCAGCCCAACTCCCAGGATTAATTGTCTTATCTCCAGTCCTTCCCTCTCTAATCTGCCTTCAGAGCTGGAGCTGCCCAGGGTCTCCTTCCCCTCTGGCCGCTCCGCTTGCGCTCACTGCCTCCTCTCTTTCCCCAGGAAACCTTCCCATGGCTGCAGAGCTACCCCGAAAGCAAAACTAGAGGCGAAGCCAGCCAGCAGCCCCTTCCCCTCCCATCCCAGCCTGGCCCAGATCACCCAGTTCCGGATGATGGTGTCTCTGGGACATTTGTCCAAAGGAGCCAGCCTGGACGATCTCATCGACAGCTGCATTCAGTCGTTTGGTGAGTGGCCCACATGCATGAAAATCACTATCCTACTTGGTGCGTCCTTAACAAGTGCTTTATAGAATAGCAACCTATTGTAGATTGCATTTTGGCTTTAAAAATAGCTTTTTGAGCCTTTGAAATGCTGGAGAGGGTGCGCGGTGCCTGCGGCACATGACTGTGTGGGTGTAACAGGTCGTGATGAGAGGTGTGATTTAAAGTGAGAAAAGTTACCGAGGAGACTTTGCATTTTTCTTCGGATAGAGGTGTGTGTTTTTTTTGGTTTTTTGTTGTTGTTTTTTTGCGGGGCGGGGGGGGCGGGGAGTGGTGGATCATACGATGCTGTTGTGCGCCTGGTGCTTTGACTTTTTGTCCTCGTGTTCTTGGGGCACCCAAAAACCAGGTTCCGTGAGCAGACTCTATTATCAAACAGAAATGTGAAAGTTTTTGAATCATTTGGACAAAAGAAGTCTTAATAATTCCCTTTACAACCTGAATGGTACTTACAGAAGACTGGGAAGGGATGGGGTAAAGTTGGAACTTCTGTGACAGGGAGATACTGATTAATAAGCATTGCCATTGGGGGTCAAAGATCGGAGCAGCAGGCAGACTCATGCCGGCAGTGAATTACCTAAACTTGGTCCTCCATCATCACCTCATCACTTGAAGGATGCACCCCTCAGGGCAGCTGACAAGTAGGTATCTGCAAAGATGCCCTATTTTCAAAAAATTGTATAATCAGTCTTTCCCTTGGTTGTTATTTGTGAAATAGTGATGAAACAGTACTAGGTATTTTCTCCCTTTGAAAAAAAGGAATGATTAAAATTGATGGAAAAGTCATAGATTTCCCCTTTGCCCCCCGCCCCCATCCCTCCTTTTGAGCCCCTCATCTCCCATCATGCAGGAGAGGAGTGAACCCTAGTGGCTCAGCTCAGAGGCACCTGCCCAGCCGGCTCCAGGAGCCAAGCCGCCGGGAGGTGCTCATGTCCCAGGCCGCACGGCATGCAGAAGCGCTGGAACTCAGAGCTGGGACTCCTGGCTGGACTTGTTCAGTGCTTGGCCAGACCTTAATTCTAGAATTGGGAAAGGCTTGACACCTCAGGAATACTCACTTCGTGCGCTTCATTACAACACGGAGAAGAATAGTTTTGATGATTTCAACACTGTTTAAAGCAGTTGTTCTCAAATGTTAGTGCAGAATCGCATGGAGGATATAATGCGTTTGCTCCACCTGCAAAGTTTCTGCTCCAATGGGCTGGGGTGCGGTCCAAGAATTTACATTTCTCACACGTGGCCAGGCGGTGATGCCGACGGATGCAGCTGATCCAAACAGACCGCTTTGCTTTTTAACCAGGAAAAGAGGGGGGATTTTTATTGCTTGTTGGACCTTAACTTTAATTGAGTTTCTATTTATCTACACATTCATTTTTCAGTGGGGGATGAAGTCGGGGGCAGAATGAATGGTTTCCTATTTCAAATGAACCTCCATGGGAAATATGCGGGCAGGGAGAGGCGCTGGGACACAGGGAGAGGCGCTGGGAGACAGCGGAGCCTGGGGGAAGCGTGGCTGTGACAAGCTGTTCTGTCACCTCGTTTCCAGTCTAACACGCCGCAGCTCCTCACACAGGCCTGGCAGTCGGTGTCCTGGCTGTTAGCAGGGCACTATGACTATTTCACGCATGAAGATGTTTATGCTCTTTCCATCTCACTGTTGATGAAAAAATGGCGACCAGCAATGTATTTAGTACTTATCACGCTTTCTTCCTCCCATGTCCGTCATGCCGCTGCTGGCTGAGTATTAACCTTCCAGTAATCATGACATCAACCTGAAAAATACATGACTGATTCTGCAGTCCTTCCCTGAAAAAACCAAGCCCAGCCCACGCCCCTCAGCAAATAGTAGATTATTTCCTAGACTATGTTGAACTGAAGGATGTACCTTAAAATCCCAAAGCTGTAACAATCCCATGGAGCCTGAGAGTCTTCGGTGCTTGACCGAGAAGCATGGAAGTCCCTGATTGCCTGTGACGCTGTGCTGGGCAGTGCACCCAGAGAATGGCAGGGACTGCACACCTGTCCCATTCCTAGAGTTTAGAGCACCTGAGATGTGCCCTGTTCAGGAAAAAAGAAAAAGATACAAAACACAGGGCAGTCAAAAGCGAAGTGCAGGGAGAATAAATCCTTTATGCCATGTAGAGTTTGAGTCAGTTCACCTCCAGGGTGAGGGCCTAGATTCAGGAGGAGAGCCAGTGTTTGTTCAAACCCCTCTTGGGGCCGTGGGAATGTTTCAGGAAGGCAGGAAGGTGAAGAGCTCAGGGCTTCTCGTATTATACTCTGCGGAGTTTCCTGCCACAGAATTTACATGAAAGGGGAAAAGAAGAAAAGACACCGAATGTCTGGAGAGAACGGGAGACAGCACTTAGCCTGTGATTTTTGAGTGGTTGGTAGTCAGTTGACGTGTCCAGTGAGGGGAGGGAGTGAGATTGAGCCGCAGAGGAATGTCGGGGGGTAGGGATGGGCAGCAGCAGCAGAACTATGTCCTTGGGCTCCTACCTGTCAGCCTCCTCAGAGGCGATGGGAGAAGGGTGCAGAGTGAGGCTAATGTTTCTCTCGAACATGATCTCACTGGTTATTTCTCAGCCTTGGGTAGAAAAGTTGTCCTATGGTAGTGGTCGGCAAACTCATTAGTCAATAGAGCCAAATATCAACAGTACAACCATTAAAATTTCTTTTGAGACCCAAATTTTTTAAACTTAAACTATATAGGTAAGTACATTGTTATTAACTTAATCAGGGCACGTGGTATTTTGTGGAAGAGCCACACTCAAGGGGCCACATGTGGCTCGCGAGCCTCAGATTGCTGACCACTGTCCTATAGATTAAAGTCATCTAGTTTAGCTTTGTGTTAATGAGTTTAGATGCCATCACAGTTTAATATTCATGAAAGAAATGGGAAGAAATAGTACTGGAGGATTAGGGAAACCTGTTCTTATTTTATGGTAATCTCTCACTTCAGACCTTGATAGTGGCCACTTCTTCCAATGTGGAAAAAAAAAAAATTGTTTTGAACATCAAGACTGTAATTAGTTCATGTATGTTCTACTGCTTTCCCAGCCTCACTTGCATGCAGTTTGCTTTGAGGGGGGTTGAATTGGCTAGAGATGTGCTGTCCAATATGGTGGCCACTAGCCCCACATGACTGTTTACATAGATATTTCCATTAATTAAAATTATATCAGATATGAAATTTAGTTCCTATTTCAAATCCTTAACAGCCACAAGTGGTAGCTGCCTCCGGACAGAGTAATAGAAAGATTCCCATCATCGCAGGAAGTCTGTGGGGCATACTGGACAGGGTAGATGGCCTACTTGGAAGGGAAAAGCAACAAATTTTCTGGAAACTGAGGGATTTGCTTTTTTTCTAGCATCTCTAGGTAATAGTCTGAGTACTCCCTGAGGCCTCGTGTGCATTTGGCAGTCTTTACTGATGGCCCTCTCTTGAGTAATATTGGCCACTAGTTACCACCCACACTGTTCTCATTGGAAGGACTTACTACAGTGCTTTTAAGAATGGTGATCAACCCTGGCCTGTTTGGCTCAGTAGGTAGGGGATCGGCTCATGGACTGATGGGTCCTGGGTTTGATTCCGGTCAAGGACATGTATCTGATCTGTGAATGCAGGAGAAACCAATCAATGTGTCTCTCACATCGATGTTTCTCTGTTTATCTCTCCCCCTCCCTCCCAGTCTCTCTAAAAATCAATGGGAAAATATCCTCTGGATGAGGAATAAATAAATAGTTAAAAACAAAAAAGGAAGGGGTGACCAGCACCCACAAAGTAAGTGTCCTCTTGCAGGCAAGCCTCCCAGTGTCACATACAAGGTTACCGATTTGGGATTAGAAACACAGAACCCTGAGCAGTTCATTGCTTTACCATGAAGCAACCACCCCCACCTTCTGTTTCAATCAGAGATCACGCTTTACCTTCTCAGCCTGTTATGGGGAGTGAAGCCACTCTTCAGCTGAGCACAATGAGGCAAATCATCACAACCTGGTACATTGATGTTAGATGCGTGTGAGTCACACCCGCTGTTCCAGAGGTAGAAAAGACTGACAAAAATCATCGGGGCTTTTTAAAACGTTTTCACTTCGTAGGAGGGCTGCCAGCATTGGAGACCGAGTGGAAGGCTTCAGACGTCCAAATTCCCAAAGCTCTTCTCTTGTCCTCTTCTGAGTACAAGACAGCTCTGACAGCATCAGCAAGAAGGCTGCAAACACATGCCAGAAAGGGACCCTCCGGAGGCAGCTCTGCTGCTCTCTGCTGGGGCGTGGGAGGCAGCTGCAGGTCTTTGTCTTACCTGTCAGCATGCGGGGAAGCGCAGCCTGGCCTCGTACCTTATATTCAGAACTAAGAGGCCCGATGCACGAATTTCATGCAAGGGTAGGCCTTCGCAGCCCCGGCCACCTCCTGTGCAGCCCTGGCTGCCTCGGCCAGCCCCCCAACCCCGGCTTTTTCCAGAAGATCATCCGGATGGTTATTCCGCGGATAGGCCATTTAGTCGATTTGCACATTATGCTTTTATATTATAGATGATTATAGATGTTGATTTTTTTTTTTCTTGGAGTCCCACATGTATTGATTTCTTTTAAACTCAAAACAACTCTGGAATAGGCAGGTCAGCTCTTATTGTCTCCATTGGACAAATGAGAAAGTTAATTGAGCCTCATGCCCCCAATCTGAGGAGAAAACATGCTACTCAGGTGCTCCTTCCTCTGCCCCAGCAGCCCCTGGGCCCTGAGCTGAGGCAGGCAAGGGTCCCTCTCCTAGAACAGGCTTCCTCCGCTCAGGGGAAGCCCACAGGCCACACAGGGCCTGCCTGTCCTGGTCCCTCATCCTCCCCCAGGATGGAAATAAAACTCCATGAAATATAAGAACTTTATATTTGGATCTCATCTTCATAACAGGTGTCTGCCTGAAATGTTCTCTTAAACAAAGTGTTAATTGATTAAAATTACCA